AATTAAACAAAGTGATATTGTATGAAGCAAGAAGTATACTATTTTTAATCATTCAACTTAGACTCTCGCACGTAGTTTCTGTAGCCTAACATTTTACAATCTCAAATCTCCGGTGAGACATGAATTAATTTACATCTTGTATATTTTAGTGCTTCACCAATACATGTACATTAGAATTGATAGTATAATAGCCCGTAATGAGTGCGTTTTAAGGCGTTTTTCCGATGTTTAAAATGTTTAAATGGTAAAAGCAATGCCATTAGATTAGATTCACGTTCGTGTATTGGGATTCCTTTTCGAAGAAAATATTAAGTCATATCTGTTATTTATAATACCTAAAATACATTCACTATTAAATGTTGGAAAAGAAATATCCGCTGTCTCATGTCGTTGATATTTACTTCAGGAACACATGTTTATACATTATTGCTTTTATGAATAGATGTGATTCAAATGATTTCCAATGAAGTTTCTAAAAAACTCAAAAGTTTTCTGTGAAAATGAGGTCAAAGTTACGCATTTTTGGAAAAGCTCAAACAAATTTTTAAAGAAAATTTTCATATAACCCCACGTTTTACTCTGCTATAAAAATCTTCATGTCACATTTCAGTTATACATTTATTGGACCGAAATATTGATAAAATAAAAAAACATCGGCAGCAATAGATGGCGACTGGGAATAGGGTGGGGAAAAAACAAAAAGCTAGTCCTGACTCAAAAGATCAGACAACAAACTAGTACGAGAAAGTCTATGCCCTTTTGTAGCACAATGAGTTTAAATTGTAAATAATATGAATTATTTAATCTTAAGTAGTCAATACCACCATCTCTTTGTTTGTCATGTAACACTTGCAGCGATAATTGAAGTGGAAGACGTATTAAAGAAGTTCCAGAAAGAGCGTTAAATATTGTGGAATACTGACATGTTTTCTTGATGTAATTGTGTAATTTTAGTATGTGCTTATAGTAAAAATAGTTGCTTGTATCTACAGATAAAGCGCTCAATACCCCGCAAATTGTATGGATGTTGAAGAATTAAATAGTTGGTCACTTTTTTTTGTTAGGTTCATTGTGTTGACAGGCAATACCAAGCGAGTTATTTCGAAAGGAACTGTCGTGTCCATTTCCATGCATCACACATCGACATGGTGTCGCTTCGCAGTTTCTCGTTCGCTTGCTCCCGAGTCTCTGTAATTGAACTTTCCCCTCCCCTCGCCCTCCCTTCCCAACCCCGCGGCAATTGTGCCTTTCGGTGGAATGACGAAGTTACGCAACAAAGCCAACACAATTTCTGTTACACCCGTCCGCTCGTGGCGACATCGACATTCAAGCAACGAAGTTGGAATGAGAAAAAATGGCTGGGAAACGTTTCACGATCTTGCCACACGTCGTAAAACGTTTTTGTTTTACTGAAATAAATGATCGATCTGAAATATCGTAGAATATTTTGTAACACGGTATTTGTAATACGCATAAAAATAATTATATATTGGAAGCTTAAAGTAATAAGGTAATTAATTCTACTAAGAGTTAAAATGTTTCTTTGGCATTTCGAGTGGTGATATTTTTTTGCCGAAATCGCATTTGCTAATCAATCCTCTGTTTTTTAAAACATGTAGAATGTGCCGACAATATTTGGAAAGCAAATGTGAATGGGTCAGACTGTGAAATCCTTGTAAGAAAAGCCTATATATTGGTATATTTGAACAAGAAATGGAAAGAAGATAAAATATCATGGAATGGCCAGGAAATAGGCCTACACTATCTTTACGAATAAATAATAAATACTGCATCAAACTAAAATCTCTTCTTGCGCGAAGGAGAAAATGTATAGCGTATTTGAGTTTAGTACTCTGTACCTCAGTAGTTTTCAACATGATGTGTAACAAACAATATTATGCACTTCAGTCGTAAATATTATCTACTACTCGAGTCCTAAACAAACATTTGACTCAAGAGTGTATTTTTTATATTCCATATCAGACGCTTAACTTCATACACTTCTGAAGTTCTCAAACTTCAAGATACTTCCTAAAATCAACATTCTTGAGGATCCTTTCAATATATTAATGCTGTCTCTGGTTAAAATAATATTTTAAGTGAATAAAAGTGCAAGTTGTGCATTTTTTTCTATTGATTTCCAAAAACAAAGCATTCAAAACTCGATGTTTAAATTATTATTATTTCGAAACGTTTACTTCTCCAATCTTTGCATAACTGAGTTAATATCACGATTTAATCCAGAATATGCTCTTAGCTTTATTTACATGGAAGCGACACCCATCACGCTGTTGGTGAGTGTATTCTAGGGAAGTGTGGTTCTCTGTTTAGTTCATGCGCTGCATCTACAGCTACCGAAGTAGCGTTTTCCAGCAACATGCGCACGTTGAACAACTGATGAGGACGTGGCCTATTCGTAAAAGTGGATTCAATTTAAGTGATAATCACTATACAAAATATAGAGAAATCCAGAATATATTTAGATTAACTTTGGAAGAGAATAAAAAGGTATTCACGAATAACTAGTGAACTTTCTCCAAACTAGAACAGGAAAGCCCGGGGTACGATAGTCAACTAAACGACTGTTAAAGGAATGAAAGCGAATCTTTGAAGGAGAGCATTCGCAAACCCTCAGAGACAAGCGCCGCGGGTTCAAGGATCCCTCTTCGGAAGGTGCTGCACTAGTCCAGTGTTTAATTGTAAATTGTTACGTATGAAGCATTGTTGGGGCTGAATGTCCCCCTTATTCTCCTTCTCTTCTCTCTCTTCGTCTCTCTCTTCTCTCTCTCTCTTCTCTCTCTCTCTCCTATCATACACACACACACACACACACGTAAACACAACACACACATGGCCACTATCTCACACACATGCACACTAGCTTCTCACAACATCATTCACACAGACACAGCCTCTCTCTCTCTTCTCTCTCTCTTCTCTCACATCCACACACACACATCACACACACACACACACACACACACTACAACATCAACAGACACACTCACTCACTAAGTCTTCCTTTTTCTACAGCTTTTTGTCGAACCCTTTCTCAGTAGAAAGCTTCATTAATCTTTCCTCTTGTCTTTTGACAATTTACAGCTAGAGTGCAATTTGTAATAAAAGATCAGGAATATTATTTATCTTGTAGGAATATTATACCTCAAAGCTAGGAATAATTGTATCTCTGGGTAAAAAAATTTAAATTCATTATTGGTTGAAATTTTTCTAAACAGCTTAATCTTTCAAAGTTCATTATTTTAGTTTCAAAACGTGAATTGCTATTTGGTATCATTCGAAATGATGATTTTGAAAAATAATTTAAAAAATGGAAGCATTTGGGGAAAAAGGGGTTGCGTAACGTATACAAACTTTTCGCTGTCTTAAAAGCCTTATGGAATGCTCCTAATTTTCTTTAGCTTTAAAAACGTTCATCCTCTTTAATAAAAAAAACTCGCAAAATGATCTGACCATTCAGATAATGTTTTAAAGTACAATATAATCTCAATAAAATCAAATATTTTAAAAATGTCGTTTGAGCTTTTTCATTATTTACAATCGAAAACTTTGAGATTTCTCTAAAAATCATAAGAATTCAATGAAATCATTTGTGTGCTCAAATGCACATGTAATGTTGATATGAACGATGTGCCAGATGTCATAAAAAATACCTAGTGCAATTTCTAAAATTTAAATTTTTAACCAATCATGTGATTAAGTACAGCGCGTTTTATCTACACTAAAAGTTTAAAGACAAAATTGGAGCCATTTCGAAAAACTCTTCTTTGGGTATTCAGGGAAATTGTTTCGTACTGACTCATATTTACGCAAAACTACTAGAACTTTGATAATTTATGAAGGTAATACGGGTTGGAGAGACGGTAGCCACTTTTCGAACATTCAAAGTTTTTTTCTTCAAAACTGGACATAAAATTGATTTTAAAAATAAAAAAAATTAGCTTTGTTTTGAAAATGTGTATGGATTTCATGTGAATTTGGAAAATTGAAATATCTTTGAAAAATTAATCTTAGATCTTTGGAAAATTAATAACAAACCTTACTTCTTCATGACGTGTTACAGAGTGTCAGTTAAACTTCGATTCTGCCTAAGTCAATGGACACACAAATCCTGCTAAACAAACATACTTTCATACAACCTCCAGATATTATGGTACAAAACACTTTATTTTGTATTAGATCCTCTGAATGTATTTTACTACTCAAATAACCATCTAGAATTTTGAACCCAATTGAATTATTTTCTACTGTACTACGGACAGTGGAAAAAAGGCAACAACATTTTGCATAGAGAAAGAGTGGGGCAAAATGTAGACAGAATAATGCATAAATATCAATCTGTCAGAAAGGGGTGGAAGAAATTCTGGAAAGCAAAAGCAGATGACAATATATGATGTATAATGCGAGATGTAATGACGGTTGTTGGATTGAAATAGTGACGCCACAGAGCAAGGATACGCTGAAAAACTCAAACTCAGAAATCTATATAACCCCAAATCATGTTTGACATGTGTATGCTGTTAGATGTAGAAGTAGTAAGACATGGATACGTTAGAAGATAGAAGTAGTCAGACTTGGATATGTCGATATACTATAGTCAGACTTAACAATAGTGTGGCGAAAGTACATCAGAACGACAATAATGAACTAACATATTTCATGTATTTTTGCAACTGGCATACTAATGTCTGTGAATTTGCCTATTTCATTTTGTAAACCATTGAAAACGTTGCATGGGAAAATGAGATTGTAATGTAGGAATCGCATTAGGAAGCCATGATCTAGTGTCCTCACTTAAAACGTTCTAAAATTGAGGAACGGACACAACTTTTGTTGAAATCAGTCCCTTGAGGGAATCTCTAGAATCTACCTCCCTAGTCGGAGTCTCTAGGAAGAACACGCGTATGGGCGCAGTGCATCCAGCCACATCGTCTCGGGGTGCACAAAGAGAGCGAAGCAAGCGGCAGAGGCGGCGCGCTCACCTTGAACTTGAAGGCCGACGGCCGCAGCACGACGAAGCCGCCGTACTTGACGCGGTGCTGCACCTGCGGCCAGGGCTCTCCGCTGGTGGCTGCGCAACTGCGGGCCCGGGTTCGACTCGTCTGGGTCAGGCTGTGGCAGGTGCCACGCGCCGGTACGACACGGCCCCCCGGCTTCCCCGCCGGCGGGGCCCAACGGGGCCGGGCCCCGGGCGGAGGGCGGCGTCCCACTCGCCGCGCGCGGACGCCGCCCTGCACGACGCACCCCGCCCGCCGCCGCGCCGCCGCCGTCACCCCGGCGTGGGCCGAGGCCCTGCGCCACGGCCAGGCGCGCCACGCACCGCGCCTCGCGCTCCACCCTCGCTGAGGAGCACCAGGCCCAGCACCCAGCGCCAGCGCAGCACTAGCACCAGGCGCGCGGCTCCGCCGCCACACCGCCTCCATGGGGGCTTTCGCGCCGCCGCAACGCCCCTTTCCCGTCGCCGCCCAGCGCCGCCCGCATCGCTTCTTCGTCCCCCGCGCGCAACGCCCACGACCCGACCGCACAGCCTGCAGCACAGCCCAGCGCGACCGGCGACCCCGCACAGCTGCGGCACACCAACGCGACCACTACTGGCTCCTCGCCCTGAGGATGCTCTTCTCGCGCCGCGCCTCTGCCTCGCTTCGCGTTCCGGCGCCGCTTGACCCCCGTGTGTACCCCCGCCCCCCGCGCCCGTCCCTCGCCGGCGGACGACGCGCCGCGCGCGGCCGCGCCGCGAAGCCCCGCGCCCGCGCCTGCGCATGCGCGAGCCCACACGACAAGCGCCTTTTGTCAACCGAGGGAAAAAAATTCGCTCGGCCGGACGGAGGAGCGCAGCCTCAGGTAAAGCGCAGCCAAAGGGAACAGGGCTTGAACGCGCGTGTGGACCGCCCAACAGCGGCCAATTAAAGGAGAACAGCTCCTTAATAACGGGCAACTTTAACGCATCTCACAATGTCATAATCTGCTGCTTCGTGGGTTAATTTAAATGCAGATAAAATCTCTACACCGAAACTCTACGCACTGAGTTACAATTGTCGACATTCTAGTATAGAGTCACATGCATGTCAATGCACAGGTTATACGTGACTTGGGACACGTAGTCTTTAAAACCTATTTAAAACGTCTAAAAGGGGGTTCTTAAAAGGAACATAAGGTGTTTAATTTCTTAAATAAGCTGTTTAAATTGACATGAAATTAATGATGGTGCACTTCCTCTCCTCCACCCCACTATTTCTGACTCTTAATCACCCGTCACGTTGAAGTTTCTTGGACTAGACCGGGCAATTATTCTGTCGACTGTTTATTTTTCCTGGTGGCCAACATTTACTGTACGTCGTATACGTAATTAGTGTAATAGGTCTATTGCACGGTTTTTGTGTTCCCTTTATTACATTACGGAAGTGTCTAAGAGCTAAATGTAGAGTTCAAACGTGTTACAAAAAAACATTGTTTGCCCCTCTGCCGAAATGTGAATGTTGGTTGGTGGGATGAACTCGGTCGTTATTAAACTTTTGCAGCAATGTTATTTAACCTCAATCTATTGTATTGAAATAATCATAATGGACTACAAAAATTTCACATAAATATAATTGCTAAAACATCTATGACTTTTCACACTCAGGATAGTTTTATTTGCAGATAACGGCCTTTCTCAACAATTTACATACTATTTTAATATTGCTATAATAGAAATAGCATATTTTCTTACTTTTCTAATGGATTGCGCATTCTGAGTAATCCGGGATGTTTAATAAATAGAGATCTCTACTTCGGTGTGATTTTATAAGAACGTTTTCGAGTTTATTCTCCTTGTTTTCTACAACACCGAAGAGACCTTTTTTAGACTCGGATGCCAAAATATGTATAGCCATCTGTAATGAAGTTTCTGTAATATCACTAAGGCATGAAATGTGTTCATAATACATTTCCACATTAAAACTACTTAACATTTTCTGCATCAAAAGAATAAAATGGAAATTTGCCTAAATATCTGCTATCTAGTTGTAAGGTAAAAATAACCACACTTGGAACGTCTACATTGTAAGGAGTTTACACTTTGTCTACTCACTAGTGTACACTTATACACCGACGTTTTCTTGAGCTTCGGAATACCTACCCCCACTCCTTTGCCAACATTAGTTGAATTAAGAATAAATGACAGCAACGAGCGTTGTAGGCAAAATTTGATAAGCAGAAAAGTTCGCTCCCATGTAATAAAAACTATTTTGCTTCGAAAGTGAACAACAAGTTTGATGTAAAATTTCTTTTGTGAAAAAAAAAACCAAACACGAAACTCCTTTCATAACAAGCGAAGCGAGGGCTCAAGAAAACGAGCGCGAATAATATGTGTGTAGTACGAATACATGTGCTAATGAATGGTGCATGTTAATATACGAATAAATCAAAATAGGGAAGCATTGGACATCTATAACAACATCTTTTTGGGGAAATATCAGCATTTTATAAGTCCAGTATATAGTGATTTTGGAAACGTATCGACTTCGTACGTGCAGACATGTTTTAAGAGAAAAAGTTTAACTATCGATTATAAAGAGCTTTAGTTTTATTTCAAAGGATCTCCTCCAACGGCGCAATACTCAGGTAAACACCAAAATGTAGTGAAAATGTGTATAGAACGAGACAGCACTTAGTGCCTCGTGGCAGGGAAGTGTACTGAGAATATATAAAAGTGTAGTTTGGACCCGAATCATTCTGTAGATAGTTGAAGGTAGTGTTCAGAAGAAGCAAAAGCTACTCTTTCAATATTTGACTGCCAATACAGCAAGAGAACATTGTTTTCCATCTTTGCGACGACGCCACGGCCCAGTTCGACCTTGGTCTCACATCCTGGAAATCGCATCACCGCTGGCGCCTTTAGCACTGCTCTCATTAGTTTTTTTCATATGAAAGTTCCTTTAGACCGAAACAACATTGAATTTCAATGTGCAACTGAAGTAAAGAGTAATACGTTCATATTATATCATACACGAGAGTCTCTCAGATTGAGAAACAATTGTATAGCCCAGTGCAATTGAGACACAATGCAATAGATGTTTCTACTATGAAAGTTAAAGGTACATCGAATTTCTTATTTTTCCCCTCAATATTCCGTTAGTAACAAATCCCGTAAGATATTTTGCAGCCTTATATGCGTCTTGATTCTCTCACAATAGTATCCTAATGAAATAATATGAATTTAACTGTACCTAAACCGAGCATATCGTCCAAATGAATGTTACTTTGGTATTATTATTATTATTATTATTATTATTATTATTATTATTATTGTTGTTGTTGTTGTTTGCGTATCTGCCATTACTGACCACTCTACACGATTGACGTGTGTAATTTTTCCAGGATCAGCTTTTCAGCTGTATCCCTCAGTTCGACAAGGTTGTTACGCCTTGAAGCGTGAACTATGAGATGATAAGATGATGTTGCGGGGTGAAGGGGCAATCACAAATACGACCATGTCTACGCAGGACTCAGACCTGACACCTCTTCGGCGTAGACACGGCTGCCGCATCCGTCTACGCCACGGGGCCGTCTTATTATTATAATTATTATTATTAGCGGAACCCGGCAGACATTGTCCTGCCCTTCATTTCCCTTTATCTCTCTCCGTCTCCCCCTCTCTCCTCTCCCCTCAGCCCAAATATAATAGAATGTTCAAAAAATCTCATCCTGTAGATTACGGTGTGAGAAACCTTTTTTTAGGCAATTGGCATCAATATTTTAACTTCAAATGTCCTAGAACACTTCATGTAGGAGTTATTTAATGATATATATTCAAAAAATCCTGCCGAGTTTGTTACGGGTTGCATTTGACATGAATATTTAGTTTTGTTCAACAGCGCCATCTAGTGAATTTTTCGGATATTGTAATACTTAGATTTATTCTGTCAAAAACATTAAAAACTATAAGTGACGCAGGTGGAAAAGGATTATTTGCGCACGTTTTCTTGAGTTCCAGAATCCCTTCCCGTCATTTTAACTATAAGTAGATGAAAGGTGAGTTAAAGTTTAACATAAATAAATAAAAGTAAATTTTAAAAATCGCAAGATTAGCAATATCTAAAAATAGTCATTTTCGTTTCTGAGGTATAGAAAATTTATTTGCATCGGTACACGAATTGCAAGTATGATTTTTCTGCATTGCTAACGAAATAGCAACTCGCCCTTACCTCTACTCCTACCATTACAAGCAAAAGAAGAGTTCAACAAAACGTGCGCATAGTGAAGCTACATTTACGTCCAAAAGCAAAACAAGGGGCCATCTCAACAATTGCTCAATGGATCGGGGAAACTGAACAAAAACCTGATCGAGATGGGGGTCATTGTCCTGGAAGCTGAAGTACATTATTTGTTACAAACATATTAAGTCTTTAAAAAAAATATACAATACAAATTTAATTGTTTGTTGTTTTTCATTTGATAATCTGTATAATCTCTAATTGCATAGAAACAGTTATGCAGCAAAAAATATTTTACTTTTAACTTAAATTTGTGAGCCGCCTTAAATTGTTTAATGTCATCTGGCAATGCGTTGTAAAGTAACGTACATGTATTGTATGTGAATTTCTGATAGTGAGCTTTTGATATTGACACTTGATGAACGTTATTTCTACGACTTGTGTTGTAATTATAAATATCAGTATTGCATGAAAATATGTTCCCACGGATAAGTGAGTCACTTTTGACAAATATCACAGATTCGTAAATATATAGGCAAGGCAGTGGTAAGATTGCAAGCTCAATGAAGAGAGGCTTGCAAGGGTAACGCGGATGGCATTTCTTCATTATTCGAATAATTTTCTTCTGCAATCTAAATGTCTGAGTACAACATGATGAGTTTCCCCAGAATTTTATACCATATCTCAGGCAGGAATATACATTGCAAAATACACGCGAGCTGCATGAAGGCTGACAACATTTGATAGAATTCTGAATGCGTAACATAATGAACTTAATTTAATGTTTAATTTTGTTATATGTACATGCCATGAGGTTTAACTGAATTGACAGACCTAGGAAATTTGTTATCTGAAAATCACCTAATTGCATATTATTCATTTTCAATGGAGCATACGATTGCTGATTTGAAAGGCAAAAATACATTGAAACTTTTTGAAACTGTACTTATTCTGCAATTCGAGTTATAAATGAATCCAACAAATCAGAGAAAATTAAAATTGGCTCAGCCTTTCTCGAATTATAAATGCTGTAACTGACCCGACTTTTTTATATTAAGAATTATATAAAGAAAATAAAAATTCAATATAAGTTCAAAAATCAAGTGTTTAAATGGCATGTCAGCAAAACATTTGCTTTATTTAAGCTATGTATTTTGCTGTATAGGTTGCAGTGGGTTTGATTATCTTCAAGGATGCACCTTGTGTTATAAGATGTATGTAATATGTAT